GCAGCGGCTGCAGCGGCTGCTCGACGAGCACCGTCTGGCCGCGCGTCGGGTACAGGGCTTGTCCTCGACGCCGCCGAGCGAGTGCGCGCCGAGGCCTGTGCAGTTGAGGACCGCCGTGACGTCTGCGGCGATGCGCGCCCTCGCGGATGTGCGTGATGCGCCGCCGGTCGAGCGCCACGTGGCCCCTGGCGGCACTTTTCGAGGAGCCTTGCCTGTTAGACCGGACTGGACGTCGTGGGGGGGGGACAAAAGACAACGGGGATAGGTCACGAAAAAGAAGAAGCAGCAACGCACCACTGCAGGTAGATCTGCGTGTTGATCACAAACGTCCGCGGCACGTCGAGCCCAAACGCCGCCCGCGCCGGCAACGCCCCCTGCGCCACCGCCTTGACGCCGCCCACGAGCTCGTCATACCACAGCTTGCCCGTGCCCTCGCTCAGGATGGCGGCGTCCTCGATCTTTTGGTCGAAGATCATGCGCAGCGGCGACCACTGGATGCCCGCCTCGGGGCTCTGCCGCGCAATGGCGGCGAAGCGCTCGTAGGTTACGCGGTCGAACGACTCGAGCAGCCCATTGTCGGTGGCCGCCGAGCACCAGTTGCCGCCGGCCCAGGGCGAGCAGTAGTCGATGTTGTAGTCGCCCGGGAAGTCGGCCGCGAGGATGGTGATGCGCGCCGACGGGTGCCGCGCGCGCAGCGTCAGGGCCGTCGTGAGGCCGATGACGCCGGCGCCGAGAACGACAAAGTGGAGTCCCGTCATTCGTGCCTGTGCTATCGTGTTGGCTGTGTGCTGATTTGCTGCTCTGTAGCCAGATCGTCATGTGCCTCGTTTTGCTCCCACGGATGAGGGAGGCTCTTTTATGTGTGCAGCTTCGCACACGCGAACTAGCCGGAATCGGTTTCGCCATGGTGTTCAGCGATGCCATCTCCAGTTTTTATCCTGGCATCCCGCTGCCCGAACGAGGCTAGCGACTGGCCGCCGAGGACCCTGAGTCGTGCGCTGGTGAGGCAGCCGTGGGCTGTCGTTGGTGGGCGTGTGTGCTCGGCAAAGGGCTTAAATTTGCCGAATGGTGGGGGTTTCCAAGTCGGCATGCTGGTCGGTGTTGCCGATGCATTGTACGACTCTGGACGGCGAAATGTCGTGATGCCGAACTGACGCGGGGGATGCGCCGCGCTGGACGTTTGCTTCAGAAGATCACGCGTGAATAGGAGGAGCAAGAGAATGCTGAGCTTGCATATATGGCCATCGGCAATTTTCTTTCTGACTTTCTTCTATAGCTATAGTTATCGGAAAAAAAAAACCTTTTTTCCTGTCCATGGTAGTGGCTTCTGCAGTGACAGGCTCGTGTTCATCTGTCACTTTGGCGTTGGCATTCACGTCAGTAGCCCAACAATCATACGCGCCGTTTGACTCTCAGTGAAATAAACAATGTCAAGACTAGTATTCTATGTGCCGTGCCCCATGAAGTGCATCATCTCACCGTATTTTATCCAAGTCCGATCCCTTCTCATTATCATCTTCCACCTCTCAGACCGACAGCACAACTCGAGTGAAGCCCAAGGCCCAGCCAGATCACTTCCTCGAGCCATGCGCGAACCGGTTCATAATCAACCCGCCCACCATGCTCTTCAACATGCTCCCCTTGCTGAACCCGGAATCCTCCTCCTCCTTCCGCCCCCGGCGGTCATCATACCGATCGTCATACCGGTCCCGGCTCCAGCGATCCTCCCGCCCCCCGTCATCCCCGCCATTCTTGAAAGCAGCAATGGCCGCCGCGCCCGCAGCCGCCGTCGCGACCCTCGGCGCCTTCTCCACCCAGCGCCCCTTCTGGCTCCTCATCCGCCACGCCTCCGCCGCCCCCGCCGCCAGCGCCGGCCCAATGGCCGCCATCATCTTGTCCTTGCTGCTCGATGTCGAACGACGACCGCGCCCGGCTGCTGCTGCCGCGGTC